ATCGCCCCTAGATTGTCTCACACACCTTCTCATGCAGCTAGGAGAAAAAAGTATGTTAGTTATGAGGGGCGTTCATTAAATATTTCTCCTGATCCACTTCCTGATCTTTTTTTGGTTTGATACTTCCATTTACAGCATTGATTGTGATTATAGCCTATCTCTGCTACAGTTTCACCCTTTCTGGAAGCACTTATGTGGTAGAATAATATTGAGAGGCATCTTTCTCTCTGCTTCCGCACACGGGAAAGAAGACCAAACTGGAGCAAAGAGAGGCTTTGGTAGGGAGAGGGATGCTCAGGGACTGCAGGAATTAGGAATCATGGTTTGTGCACTCAGTTCTACAAGGTGGTTGCAATTCTCCACTGGATTTTAGTCAGAACATTAAAGGAACAATCTGAGAACTACAATTCAAGAATGATATATGAAGGGCATTCATTAAAGACTTTCCCTGACCACCTTCCTGTGGACTGAGAGCAATGAAACTTGCCCCAGTTCTAAGTGCGTCTCTCCATCAGTTTATTTATTTATCTTGTCTGGGGCAGCCAGACAATTGTATTGGTTGCTTCTGGAGTGAGAGAATCAGCCGTCTATGAAGACGTTGCCCAGGGGACGCCCGGATGTCTTGCAATCCTGCGAGGAGGCTTCTCTCATGTCCCCCTCTCTCCATCAGTGCCACAAAGGGACACACACTTGTCCCACCTTTAGAAGCATCTGTCGACACCTCACTTGTAGAAGTCAACAGGTTGCTCCAAAAGCCACATTATGAATTTGAAAATCAGAGTCTCCTCATGTGAAAAAGGCTTGCCCTTCAAAACTAACTTCATTGTTGGAAAGAGGTGGAAGTCCGATGATGTGAGGTTGGGTGAAGAAGGGAGATGCGGTTGAATTTCCAAGTCACAGGAGGATGTTTCTTCCATTTGGGCAACAGGTGAGTTGTGAACTGGTGCCCTGTCTTGCAGAAGGTGGACACCTTTGGTGAGCATGCCACATTGTCTCTTGGTTTTGATGGCCTCCCTCCATTTCTGCAGCAGTGGAGTCTAGTCTACCCCAGTAATCATGGTCTCCTTTGCTACAAAATCCATTAGTACTACTTCGTGCTGGTCCAAAAATACTGTGAGGATCACTTTGCCTGCCGAGAGTTGGGCCCATGCCTTCTTTGGAGGCGGTGAGTCAGGATGCTTCCATTGCATTGACTGGACTTTAGTGTCAGGATTATAGTGATAGACCCAGCTTTCCTCCTGTGTGATCCATCTGTTGAAAAAGTTCTCCTGGTTTCCATGGCACAACAATGTCAAGAAAGCCTGAGAGCATTTGACTTGTTCCTGCTTCTGGAAAGATGTGAGCAGCTAGGGGACCAGGAGAGCGCATCCCTTATGCAGGTGAAGATGGTCTTGGGTGGTTTTTTCCATGAACCTCACACTCATCTTGACATTTTGGGCTAGGTGGAGAATGGTTACACAGCAATTTTCCAAAATGGTGACCTCTACTTACAAGATGGTGTGTTCATCAATAGCACAGTGGGGTGGCCCTGGAATTGGGGCTGTTTCCACTGACCACACTGGAATTGATGATGCCAGTTCTTGACTCCATCATATGATGAGGAATCCTCACCGTAAAAATCTTTCATCTCATCAGACGTCCCCTTTGGTGTGCAGCCTTTCAAAGAAAGGAACTTGAGGACTGCTCTGTATTCCACTGGGTCCACGATCAAACCTCACACCACTTCAGCACCTGTAACATCGAGACTGTTCTCAGTTCTGAGTTGTAAATTGGCACATAACCTGTAGAGACTTATATCATTACACATGTGCAGTTTCAGCATCCTGTGATAAATAGAAGTGGGTCTGGGGAAATCTTTAATGAATGCCCCTTGTATAATGAAATAAATGTCTGCATCCCTAGTCCATTGATTTTAACTTTTTGGTGCAGCTCATGTGCTTCTTAACCAGAGCTCAGAGCTCATGGTTTTTGGCAGGCAGTAATTCCAGGCATCATCTTTAGTCACATAATATCATACTATCCTTCAGATCATTCTACTCAACGAGCCTTGATATCTTTCCTGCTGGTTGAGTAAATGCTGAAAGCATAGATTGTAAATTAAGTCTATTGACAGTACATGCAAAGAGTTATCAGAGAACATTTAATTCACTTTAGCGTGATCAATCTAATGTTTAATCCTATTCACTCCGTAATCATTTCTCGATAGATTCTTCCTTCCTGAGTAGTTGCATACTGCTTTATAAATTTTGCTATGCAGGCAGAGGAGGAAGAGAGAGATTCCCATTTCTAATCTGCTATTCCATCTCCAAGTATGGTGGTGAAGGAGCTAACCATCATATGATCCCAATACTAAGTATCTCAATATTGAAATACTATATGGACTGTTCTTGCTTTCTAGGCCAAAAGCCAAGATGCTGGTTTTAACCGTGAAAAGCCAAGCAACCTGGGGCCAGGTTACCAAATATAGCTTTCTCAACATGTGGTGGCCTCACAACTCCAAGGGTTCTTGGATGTAACTGATTATCTGGATCCATCTCAATCTGGTTTCAGGCCTGGCTTTGGGACAGAGATGGCGTTGGTTGCCTTGGTGGATGATCTATGAGGAGAGCTAGATAGGGGGAGAATGTCCCTACTAGTTCTCCTGGACCTCTCAGCAGCTTTTAATACCATTGACGATGGTATCCTTCTGTATTGCCTTTCTGTAATGGGATTGGGAAGCACTGTTTTACAATGTCTCCAGTCCTTTCTGGAGGGCCGGATCCAGATGGTGGAGCTGGGGTCTCCTGTTTGACTCAATTCTGTCTCCCATGCTGTTTTATATTTACATGAAACTGCTGGGAGAGATCATCTGGAGTTTTGGAGTTCAGTGTCAAATTTATGCAGATGACACCCAACTCTGCTACTCCTTTCCACCAAATGCCAAGAACGCCATCCTGCCCCATGTCATCAGTGGTGGACTAGATTAGGGCTAATAAGTTGAAAGTAAATCCAGACAAAACAGAGGTACTCCTGGTCAGTTGGAAGGTGGATCAGGGTGTGGGATTACAGCATGTGTTGGACAGGTCATCCAGTTGAGATTTCCTGGTTTAGCTCCCCAGAGGGATGCTCTTGCTGTTGCTGAGGGAACACTAAGAGGAGGGGTGGTTCTCAGGAAACTTTTCCTTGATTTGAGTCTACTGGGATGAGGCTGATAGCCATGCAGTCGATGGCTTTCACAGTGTTCAGCCTTATTTCTCTCACCGTTGCCAGCAACTTCTCATGTACATCAAGGGGGGGGGGGGCAATGCCAGCTACCTTGTAGAGTTTATCAACAAGTGTCAGTTTGAGACATCCTGTGAGTACTCTTCATGTTTCATTTAGTACTATATTCACATGCTTCATCAGCAATTGAATAAGATAAGGCGAGGGCTGATGTTCCTATTAATTTTGGGTCTGCAACCCATACGCTGCCAGTAAGTTTCCGCAGGATGTTATTGTGTGCAGCTACTTTGTGCTTGGTGTTCATACAGTGTTTCCTAAATGTTAGTATTCAGTCTAAGGTGATGCTGAGATATTTAGAATGGGAACAGCGTTCGTGCTCTTGGCTTTCCCAGGTAACTTTCAATTTCCTCTTGGCTTCATGGTTACATAGGTGGAAAGCAGATTCTTGCGTCTTGGCAGGGTTAGGCTTCAGGTGGTTATCTTTGAAGTAGCTGGAGAGATCTTTCAGAGCATTAGAAAGTTTTCGGCTGATTCAAAGTCTTTTGCTTGCGTTATTAGGCCAATGTCATCAGCATATATAAAACTCTTTGTGAGTGATGACTGTGACTGATCGCTAGTAAAGATGTTAAACATCTTATATATAATATATAGTATATAAGTAAAGGTAAAGGTTTTCCCCTGACATTAAGTCTTGTTGTGTCCAACTCTGGGGGTTGGTGCTCACCTCCATTTCTAAGCCGAAGAGCCAGCGTTGTCCATAGACACCTCCAAGGTCATGTGGCCAGCATGACTGCATGGAGCGCTATTATCTTCCCACCGCAGCGGTACCTATTGATCTACTCACATTTGCATGTTTTCAAACTGCTAGGTTGGCAGAAGCTGTGGTTAACAGTAGGAGCTCACCCCGCTTCCTGGATTCAAACTGCTGACTTTTTGGTCAGCAAGTTCAGCAGCTTAGTGGTTTAACCTGCTTTCCCACCAGGGGCTGTATACAAGTTTCATATAATCTTTAATGTATAAATGAGGCTTGGAAATCTTTCCTTCACATTTTCTGTTTGCTTCCATGTTGATTCTTATGTAGTTTCCTCTATAGCCCCTCCATGGGGTTCATCACAAACATTATTGTTCTTTTCTTAATTCAAAACATCAATTTTAGTTGTAATGACTGCAACTCAATCAACAAATTGTGTAAATTATAAAAGTTTATAACAGTACCAACATTTGAACAGCACCAGCACTTCACTCCAGGCCCGTAGCCAGGATTTCGTTTCGGGGGGGGGTGGAAATTTTTTTCAGGGGGGGTTTCGGGGGGGGGCTGAGGTTCGGGGGGGGGCTGAGTCTGAGTGAAAGAGGGTCTAGCCTAGCAAACCTTTTGTATCATTACCCCAATACCCCCATGCATATGGGATATATTGAGTATGGTGATCAGATCATGATATGAATAAACATAACAGTTTAAATAATGCACCAGTAAGGCCTTTTCACAAATCACCATGAGAATTTGGGGGGGGGGGCTGAAGCCCCTCAAGCCCCCCCCCCGGGCTACATGCCTGCTTCACTCCTATAGTGATTAAACCTCTCTGGTGGTTTGTAAACAGAGGTGGATGGTTGTCCAGAGGTGCTTTAACTGTGTTTTTCTGTCTGGCTGAAGGGTGTGGACTAGATGCCCTCTGGGGGTCTCTTCCAACTGTTGTAAAGTATAGGCTGTCCAGAAGTCCACCAGGGGCTTTTTTTCTGGAGGTTGTCTTCTTCTTGACCAATATTTCTATTCCTTTTCTCTCTGACCCCCATTTCAACAGAAGGATGTAGTTGTGAAGCCCCATGACCCCGTGGAAGACCACCAGAATCCCTTGGTGAAAAAGAAACGGAACATGCTTACGAATGGACTGTCGTATCATCTGAAAAAAAATAGCCTGAACCATCATCACTACAGTTCGGACCGGGAGAACGACCACAACCTTTGTCAGCACCTCAGGAAAAGGAAGAAGTTGTTGAAAGGTCTCCGACAGGTAGGAAATTTGGCTTATTGGAAGACCTTACCACCTGCTACTTTGTGTGGTGATATCTGTTTGAAGGTAATGTCTTGGTCCTCTTTGACGTAGTGTGTCTTTCCGGTTACGGCTGCACTCGTAGTTATTCTTCTCCGAAAGTCCTAGGATGAAGTCATTAGTTTTGCTCTCCTTGCTACAATGTGAAAGTCCATGTACATACTCTTAAGCAGCCATGGGCAAACTTTCAAACTAGCGGGTTTGCATGGTAGGCTGGAGCTGAGTGGGCGGGCCAGGAGGGAGGGGGTTCTTCCCAAGCCCTCGAGGCCCTTTCCTCCCCTTCCTCTTCTCTTTGGAGGCAGAAAGTGAAGGATAGATGGAAAACATTTGGATCCCAAAAGAGTTGATTTTGGTCAGGAGGAGATGGTGGGTGGGAGGGAAAAAGTTTAACTATTAGACCCCTTATTGCCTACTCCTGATATAGAATCCTAGAATCCTAGAGTTGGAAGAGACCCCCAAGGGCCATCAAGTCCAACCCCCTGCCATGCAAGAAGGCACAATCAAAGCACTCCCAATAGACAGCCTCTGCAGAAAACCCTCCAGAATAGGAGACTCTACCACACTCCCAGACAGCCTGTGCCATCTCAAACAGCTCTTACTCTTAGGAAATTCTTCCTAATCTTTTCAGTCAAATCTCTTTCCTGCCATTTAAACCCATTGCTCCCTTGTGCCCTGGTCTCTAGAACAGCCCAGTTGTCCCCCCCCCCCTTTTCCTTCTCAATGGGACACCCTTTGAAATCTTGAAACATGGTCCTCATGTTATCTCTCAACTGTCTCTTCTCCCAGCTAAACATCCCCCAGGAGGAAAGGAGGAAAGAAAAAGGAGAAAGAAGAGGCAGATAAAAAGAAGAGTGGAAGGGAAGGGAGGGAAGAGAGGAAAGACACAAGGAAGGAAAGACAAAAGAAAAAGAAGGAAGAAGAAAGAGAGGGGAGGAAGGAAAGAGGGAAGGAAGGAAGGATGAAAGAGTGGAAGGGAAGGAAGGAGGGAGGGAGAAAGAGGGAGGTAAGGAATGAGGGAAGGAAGGGGGAAGGAAAAAGAGATAGAAGGAAGGAAGGGAGGAAGAAAAGGATGGAAGGAAGAGTGGAAGGGAATGGAGGGAGGGAGGAAAGAGAGAAAGAAGGAAAAACAAAATGGAAGGAGGGAAGGAAGGAAGGAGGGAGGGAGGGAGAAAGAGGAAGGGAAGGAAGGAAAGGAGGGAAGGAAGGAGGAARGAAAAAGAGATAGAAGGAAGGGAGGAAGAGAAGGATGGAAGGAAGGAAGGGTGGAAGGGAATGGAGGGAGGGAGGAAAGAGAGAAGGAAGTAAAGACAAAAGGGAAGGAAGGAGAAAGAGAGGGAATGAGGGAGGAAAAAGGGAAGGCAGGAAGACGAAAGGGTGGAAGGGAAGGAGGGAGGTAAAAAGAGGGAGGCAAGGAAGGAAGGGAGGGAGGGAGGGAAGGAGGAAGGAGAGAAGGGAGGATATGATGGTATGAGAGAGGAGGGCCTGAGAAAAGAGGCCAAGGGTCCGCATCCAGCCCCCGGGCCTGGGTTTGCCCATACCTGCTCTAACGTCTAGAATTCTTAGAATTCTGCTAGGATACTAAGTATTCATACTTCCCAAATGAAAGTACAAATTGCAAAACTCTTCTTCGATTGGCACATTTCTCTGAATGCCTTGAAACATACAGTAAATGTGTTTACTTGTTTCTGATAATTGGAAATAAATAAATTAAAAAACTCATTGAAAGAAGAATCGGGGAAGTAAACCTCTACAAATATGTGTGTGAATTCATGCTTTTAATAAAAGATAAATAAAAGCAAATGGCAAATGGAAGTGGCATTGCAGCAAGTGGTTTCGTCGAGCCAAGGACTACCTTAACAGTTGTGTTTATTTTAAAGGCATTGAATTGGCTGATTTGTAGTTTGTTAAGGTGCCAGCAATTTTTTTTTTTTGCAGAGTAGATGAAAGAACTTGGAAAAGTATTGCTCCTATGATGCCATGGCAGTTAAAGTGGTGTCAAACTGCATTAGTTCTACCGAGTAGATGTACCTGGTTGGACATTTTATGTTCCTCTCAAAGGAGTTTTGCATCTTTCCTTTGCACAAATCAGAGACTATAACCTGTGCCATGTTGCATGGGTTTCCAAATATGCGGCAATCCATACACTCTTTTGCATCTTTTTGATTAATCAGTGGTTCTTTTGGTGCTTTCTGTATTTGTGGATGTTGGCATCACATAAAAAGAGATAGTTTTGCAGAGCAATATTTCAAGGAAACTTCACTAGAAACCGGCTCTTTGTTTTATGCTTATTATGGTGCAAGTGAGAACTATCTCGGTGGTTAACATACTCCCAGCAGGTTCTTTCAATATGTCAAGGCAGCCTGTCTTCTTGAAAATGAATAATTTAGTGAGCTTGGTCACATCGCTTTTCCCTAAGTCTTGTCTGGGCTTTCTGTAATATACTTTTAAGTTATTACAAGAGGAATGTGACATAAAGGGAGCGTTATAGCTCTGCGGTCTTCTGCCATTGGAGATTCAAGAGCAAGGCTTCTGCGCAAAGATGAGACTTTCTTTCCCAGAGTGTTGATCTGTTCACAGAGAAATCAGGAGCGGATGGAGACCATACTACATCACTACTCTCTTTAGATATGGATCAAATGTTCAGATCTATATTCCAGGGGATTGCAGAGGATGAAAAATAGCAACTGGCGTCCAACACAGTGGCTGTAGTTACCAGTGTTGTCAACATCTGCAATTCACTAAAGCTTTGTCCCCAAACTACAGCCCGCGGGCTGGATATGGCGCTCAAAGATCATTTACCTGCCCTAAACCTTAGACTTAGGGTCGGCCTTGTAGTGGTGAATCCTATCCTGGAAAATGCCCTTGGATAAATTTGGTAAAATGGTCATTACCCTACCTACAAATAGGAATTTTGAGAGTTCATTTGCTCATACTACAGTGTTTCTCAACCTGGAAAACGGGACCCTGAGGGTGTGTGTGTGGGGGGGGGGGGGGGGGGGGGGGGGGGGGGGGGGGGGGTTGCAAGTGGGTTTCAGAGGGGTCACCAAAGACCACCAGAAAACATATATTTCTGATAGTCTTAGGAACCCCTTTGGCAAAGAAGGCTGAATATCTCTCTGCCTGTCCTTCTCTTTCTTTTCGGAAAGAGACGGCGAATCCTCCCACCACAAGCCCTCCTCCACTGTAGTTGGCTAGCATCTCAGCCAAGTGGAGGCCTGTTCCTGAGACTCAAGGCAAGGAGGGGAGAGCAGGCGTGCTCAGTGCATGGCAGCGTGGTGCGCATGTGCAGATGAGGGAGAGCGTGTAAGGCCGGAGGCAGGCTCGCGGCAGTGAGTCCCTTTAAGTCATGGGGATTCTGGCCCAATTTGGTCATTGGTGGGGTTCAGAATGCTCTTTGATTGTAGGTGAACTATAAATCCCATCAACTGCAACTCCCAAATGCCAAAGTCTATTTTCCCCAAACTCCACCAGTGTTCACTTTTGGGCATATTGAGTATTTGTGCCAAATTTGGTCCAGATCTATAATTGCTTGAGTCCACAGTGTTCTCTGGATGTAAGTGAACTCCAAAACTAAAGATCAGTACCCACCAAACCCTTCCAGTATTTTTTGTTAGTCATGTGAGTTCTGTGTGCCAAGTTTGGTTTTATTCCATCGTTGGTTGAGTTCAAAATGCTCTTTCATTGTAGGTGGACTATAAATCCCAGCAACTACAACTCCCAAATGACAAAATCAGTCACCCCCAACCTCACCAATATTATATTGTGTATTTGTGCCAAATGTGGTCCAGTGAATGAAAATAAATCCTGCATATCAGATATTTACATTACGATTCATAACAGTAGCAAAATTACATTTATGAAGTAGGAACAAAAATAATGTTATGGTTGGGGGTCACCACAACATAAGGAACTGTATTTAGAGGTTGCGGCATTAGGAAGGTTGAGAACCACTGTCCTAGTACATGTTGTGTCTTAGTCATTCCCATTACAGTATCCGTTGCCTTGAGTTAGCTTAATGAAGCAGGCCTAACATTATTTCTCTTGGTCATTTGTCACTTGGGTGGTTGTGCTGTTTGGTTGGAGGGGAAAAATACAGCAGCATTCAAATTTAATTTGTAAACCATAAACCTTGTGATTGTGGTCATTATGAAAATGGCAGCGTATTCCTGTTTCCTGATCTTATTCAATTACTTTGTCTCTGCATTCGGTGTAAACTGTGTACTTATCACTGTGACCCTTGGAAATGTTTGGAAAAACAGAAGAGAACAAGTGGTTCGAGAAGGGAAAAGTCCAAATGTGAAAATAATAATACAGTAAATATACTTTATTTTTATTCCGCTCTATCTCCCCGAGGGGACTCAGAGCGGATTACAGAATACATACATGGCAAACATTCAATGCCGTTAGACAGTAAATAAAGACAGACAATATATAGACAGAGGCAAGGCTTCCCTGTTTTTCATATCCAACATCTGGTGGCTGTGCTCGACTTGGCCATGGGGAGGTGCTGTTTTTCAATTTTTCAACGCCAAGGAGCCTCTTGTCCATTGACGCCCTCCTGATCGAATTGCCAGGATGTCTTTCAGGGGCGCCTTTTACCTCCCCGCCGCAGTGGTACCTATATATCTACGCACATTGCTGTTTTTGGACTGCTGTTGTAGTTCAGCCTGTGATTGTGTCTTATGCCAATGGAGGTGATGTTTTTTCCTGGGCCTGTGTCTGATGTTAATTGGGATAATGGTTTTCCTGGGTCTGGGTCAAGTCCAGGCCTTGTTGAAAGGCCTGGTTCAGGTCTTACTGAACGGCCCAAGTGGGAGTGCTTCTCCTGTAGATTTCCAAGGTCAAATTCCTGAAAGAGGCCCACAGCAGCCTTTCTCTGAGAAAGTGTCTTCTGAGGATGATATGTCAGGAGCAGAATTTAATGAGTTTGAAGATAGAAAACAAGACTTTTGTAAACCAAG